GAAGCGTCTGCAGCAGCGCCAGACCCCAGACAAGCTACGGTGTTGTATAAAATCTTGCTGCCATCCGAGGCTGAGCAGCTGCCGTCGTTCAAGTGGTCGGGCACGCAGCTGGATGTGAGACGAATGGTTGTGATGGTGATGGTGATGGTGATGGTGATGGTGATGGTGATGGTGATGGTGATGGTGATGGTGATGGTGATGGTGATGCTGGTCGCATATCCTTGCTGACACGTGAGGCATCCATCCATCCATCTTCTCTTTTCCGCCTTAGCAAAAAGATGGATTCCTGCATTTCTCGTCCAAGCATCAACTGCCAGGCACCTTGTCGCGCTTCTTTGCCCACGTCGAAGAGGTCGTCATCTGCGCCTTGCCGTTGAGCACGCTTGCGCTGGGGGAAGAAGAGGGCCGCACTTTGCAATACGACCAATCGCACGGTCAATTCTTTGGCCACATTTATGGCGTGAGTCGCAAGTAGCGTGTACATTGACAGCGAGCGTTGCCTGACAGCTGAAGGCGAGCGACACGCTGCTGCATCACTTCACCTTGTCACCTTAATCAACACTCCCCGCAACCAAGACGATCGATCCCGAGACGCAGCTTGTTTGGCGGCGTCGCACCTACAAAGCCGCAGCGGGCGGATGGGATGGCGTGGATGTATCTGACCTGACTTTCTGAGACGCCATGCACAATTCAAAATCGAAAATTGCGATTGCGATGACCCAGGTCAGGCCTTGACATGCCATCACACGCACAATTGGCCCGAGCTACCACCTGCTGCCCTTGAGTGGCGGTGATCTGAGACCTCGTAGCATTGTGATTTGCGAATCTTCGTTATATAGGCGTCCTTTGCCAGTGTGAGTCTTTTGTGTCCAGCAGACCACGTTGGTGCTGTCAAAGAAGTCACGTCACGGGTCGTGCTTCGTAATGCATGGAGTCACGTGAGTGTGAGTCTCGACTCTTGCTGGATATGATGAATCCTTGATATTTGATTCTGATTCAATTTTGAATATCACGAGTCAAGAGTCGGACTTCGTGAGTCGCGAGTCGCGAGTCGCAATAGTCACGGGATCACGAGTCGTGAGTGTTGGACTCATCTTTGCAGTTCGGGGATGGGGAAACGCGCAGGAGAGTAGCGCGTAAATTGGGCTGCAAACATCCGCGTGTCGCGCCGCGGCGAGTCAGCG